AGTGGTTAGCGTGCTGTGTGTGTGTAATCTGTGTCTGTGTGTGTGTGTAATCATAACGCGTTGTAGTGTAGTGGTTAGCGTGCTGTGTGTGTGTGTAAAATCTGTGTCTGTGTGTGTAAGCGTAACGCATTGTAGTGTAGTGGTTAGCGTGCTGTGTGTGTGTGTAATCTGTGTGTGTGTGTGTGTAATCTGTGTGTGTGTGTAATCTGTGTGTGTGTGTGTGGAAGCGTAACGCATTGTAGTGTAGCAGTTAGTATGCTGTGTGTGTGTGTAATCTGTGTCTGTGTGTGTGTGGAAGTGTAACGCATTGTAGTGTAGTGGTTAGCGTGCTGTGTGTGTGTAATCTGTGTCTGTGTGTGTGTGTAAGCGTAGCGTATTGTAGTGTAGTGGTTAGCGTGCTGTGTGTGTGTGTGTAATCTGTGTCTGTGTGTGTGTGTAAGCGTAGCGTATTGTAGTGTAGTGGTTAGCGTGCTGTGTGTGTGTGTGTAATCTGTGTCTGTGTGTGTGTGTAAGTGTAACGCATTGTAGTGTAGTGGTTAGCGTGCTGTGTGTGTGTAATCTGTGTGTGTGTGTGTGTGTAATCTGTGTGTGTGTAAGCATAACGCATTGTAGCGTAGTGGTTAGCGTGCTGTGTGTGTGTGTAATCTGTGTCTGTGTGTGTATGTAAGCATAACGCATTGTAGTGTAGTGGTTAGCGTGCTGTGTGTGTGTGCAATCTGTGTCTGTGTGTGTGTGTAAGCATAACGCATTGTAGTGTAGTGGTTAGCGTGCTGTGTGTGTGTGTAATCTGTGTCTGTGTGTGTGTGTAAGCATAACGCATTGTAGTGTAGTGGTTAGCGTGCTGTGTGTGTGTGTAATCTGTGTCTGTGTGTGTAATCATAACGCATTGTAGTGTAGCAGTTATCATGCTGTGTGTGTGTAATCTGTCTGTGTGTGTGTGTAATCTGTGTCTGTCTGTGTGTGTGTAAGCATAACGCATTGTAGTGTAGTGGTTAGCGTGCTGTGTGTGTGTAATCTGTGTGTGTGTGTGTGTAAGCGTAACGCATTGTAGTGGTAGTGGTTAGCGCTACGCCGCGCTACGAACCCGGCGACCCGAGTTCGATTCCCGCTCACGGCCACCGCCGGTGACGATTATTTTTACCGGTCCTGGGCCTCCGCTAGGTCGACTCAGCATCAAACGAGTAACCGCTCTGCTGTGTGAACATCGCCACTGGGGTGACAAAGGCGGCCGGACGTGGTGAATTAAGTCCCGGGCAAAGCCGGGTGGTAGTACAGCTAGTAATATATATTTTTAAAAAACTTTTTGTTTAAACACGCTTTTATGAAATGTACCAGTAATGTTGGAACGCCACGACTCCAGGAAGTGGGCCCGATGCTCGCCGTAACGTAAGCGGACCGCGGGCAATTACAGCCAACGTCAGCTTACCGTGGACATAACATGTACAAAAGATCGTTTGGAAATATATATTTAAATTTTTTTTAATGATAGAATATAGTAATTGTCATCAGTATGACATCAGCATACCAAGTTTGCAGTCGATACCACATTGGGAAGTGGGTTAAAATTGAGTCACAAGATTTGAGGATACAACAACAGACAGAGTGAGTTCAATAAAAGTGTGGGGCCTTGCACCTGGCTACGAATAACAAAATGAAGTTCACGTTTTAGTTCAAGCGACGCTCAGCGATCCACACGCAGGAAGAGGGCACGGCCCCTTCCATACCCGCCGTCCAACATGCGAGCGACAAAAAAATCAATGAATTGGATCAACCAATGGCAAAGAAAGACGTGATGTTTCCATCCCTACCTGCCTATGTCAGCTGTTGTTTCCGGCTTTCTCTGTGTGTGTCTCTCTCTAGGCCTCTCTCTTTGATCTCTCATGCTCACGTGTCCTTTGGATTGCACTCTCATGCTCACATCATGCTAATTTCTCACACTAGCATCATGCTAATTTCTCACATTAACATCATGCTAATTTCTCACATTAACAACATGCTAATTTCTCACATTAACAACATGCTAATTTCTCACATTAACAACATGCTAATTTCTCACACTAACATCATGCTAATTTCTCACATTAACAACATGCTAATTTCTCACATTAACAACATGCTAATTTCTCACATTAACATCATGCTAATTTCTCACACTAACATCATGCTAATTTCTCACATTAACAACATGCTAATTTCTCACATTAACATCAGGCTAATTTCTCACATTAACATCATGTTAATTTCTCACATTAACATCATGCTAATTTCTCACATTACAACATGCTAATTTCTCACATTAACAACATGTTAATTTCTCACATCAACATCATGCTAATTTATTACACTAACATCATGCTAATTTCTCACATTAACATCATGCTAATTTCTCACATTAACATCATGCTAATTGTTCACATTAACATCATGTTAATTTCTCACGTTAACATAATGCTATTTTCTTACATTACGGTCCTGCAGAAGCGGATATCAAGGAGCTACATCTTACTGGTCAACACAACGGTCCCGCAGAAGCGGATATCAAGGAGCTACTTCTTGCTTGGTCAACACAACGGCCCGCAGAAGCGGACATCAAGGAGCTACATCTTACTGGTCAACACAACGGCCCGCAGAAGCGGACACCAAGGAGCTACTTCTTACTGGTCAACACAACGGCCCGCAGAAGCGGACACCAAGGAGCTACTTCTTACTGGTCAACACAACGGGCCTGCAGAAGCGGACAATAAGGAGCTACTTCTTACTGGGTCAACACAACGGTCCCGCAGAAGCGGATATCAAGGAGCTACTTCTTACTTGGTCAACTCAACGGTCCTGCAGAAGCGGATATCAAGGAGCTACTGCTTGCTTGGTCAACACAACGGTCGCGCAGAAGCGGATATCAAGGAGCTACTTCTTACTTGGTCAACTCAACGGTCCTGCAGAAGTGGATATCAAGGAGCTACTGCTTGCTTGGTCAACACAACGGTCGCGCAGAAGCGGATATCAAGGAGCTACTTCTTACTGGGTCAACACAACGGTCCCGCAGAAGCGGATATCAAGGAGCTACTTCTTACTTGGTCAACTCAACGGTCCTGCAGAAGCGGATATCAAGGAGCTACTGCTTGCTTGGTCAACACAACGGTCGCGCAGAAGCGGATATCAAGGAGCTACTTCTTACTTGGTCAACTCAACGGTCCTGCAGAAGCGGATATCAAGGAGCTACTGCTTGCTTGGTCAACACAACGGTCGCGCAGAAGCGGATATCAAGGAGCTACTTCTTACTGGTCAACACAACGGTCCCGCAGAAGCGGATATCAAGGAGCTACTTCTTACTTGGCAACACAACGGGCCCGCAGAAGCGGACACCAAGGAGCTACTTCTTGCTGGTCAACGCAACGGTCCTGCAGAAGCGGACACCAAGGAGCTACCTCCGAGATCCCTTCTTGCTCAAGCGAGCAGAGGGCAGAGTACACCCATTAGCGTACACGCATCAGCGTACGTGCGTGAGCGTACACGCATCGGCGTACGTGCGTGCGTCAGCGTACACCACTTAGCGTACACGCGTTAGCGCACACGTACGTACGAGCGTGCACGCACCAGCGTACACACACAGGCGTCGGCGTGCAAGCGCACACACACGCACGCACACACGCACACACACGCACACACGCACACACACACACACACGCACACACACACACACGCACACACACACACACACACGCACACACGCACACACGCAGACACACACACACTACACACACACACACACACGCACACACACACACACGCACACACACACACACGCACACACACACGCACACACACATACACACACGCGACGCAAGCGCCATGTCCCCCGTGAGCGGCAACACAAAAAGTAATTGACATTCAGCAGAGACGGGCGGGGCGGTGTTGGGGTGGAGTGGGGCTGTACAAACAAGACAAAAAGACGCACACTTATGCACGCTGATTCCTACCGGCGCCGCTGGCATTCGGTGACACGTGCCGGGGCTAATCGACGGCGGGGCCTGCGGCGAAATCAATTGTGGGTAGGTAGCACCGCGCGCGGTGACCAAGGGACAGCGCGGAGGGATTAACGGCTACAGCATTCCCCCTCCTAGCCCCCCACCCCTCTCGGCCCTCCTCAGCCCCCCACCACCAGAGTTCAGTCGCCCACCGCCCCCCCAGGACGCACGACGCTGTCTCGTTGCGCATCGGGCCGTGCCAACCCCCGGGGCGAGTGGCGGCCGCCTTTGGCTCGTCATCGAGAAGCGGCAAACTCGGTCGTGTCGGAAGCGGCTTATCACGTGTTTAGCTTGTCGTCCTTCACCAGCACCTCCAATCAGCACGGTTGGCTACGGATACGGTGGTGGTGACGTGGCGGTGGTGGTGTGACGTGTGTGGTGGTGGTGTGACGTGGTGGTGGTGGTGACGTGGTGGTGGTGACGTGGTGGTGGTGACGTGGTGGTGGTGTGACGTGGTGGTGGTGGTGACGTGGTGGTGGTGACGTGGTGGTGGTGACGTGGTGGTGTGGTGGTAGTTTGTCGTCCTTCACCAGCACCTCCAATCAGCACGGTTGGCTACGGATACGGTGGTGGTGACGTGGCGGTGGTGGTGTGACGTGTGTGGTGGTGGTGACGTGGTGGTGGTGTGACGTGGTGGTGACGTGGCGGTGGTGGTGACGTGGCGGTGGTGGTGATGTGGTGGTGGTGACGTGGTGGTGACGTGGCGGTGGTGGTGACGTGGCGGCGGTGTGACGTGGTGGTGGTGACGTGGTGGTGACGTGGCGGTGGTGGTGGTGACGTGGTGGTGGCGGTGGTGACGTGGTGATGGAGGTCGCCATGACGTGGCCACGTGGTGGTGGTGACGTGGTGATGGTGGTGGTGGTGACGTGGTGATGGTGGTGACGTGGTGATGACGTGGTGATGATGGCGGTGGTGGCGACATTGCGGTTGCGGTGGCGGTGGTGGTGGTGTCGTCGTCGCGGCGGTGTCTCTGAC